CGCCTCAGGGATCCCCACTCTAGTGGCACCTGCCTCAGGGATCCCCACACGAGCGGCACCCGCCTCAGGGATCCCCACACTAATGGCACCCGCCTCAGGGATCCCCACAGGAGCGGCACCCCTCTGGTTGTTGATAGTTACTGTTTCCACTTAGCAACTGTAGCCCTCTTTATTAGAGTCTTCAAATTTGAGTCTTTTTTTGTCATCTCTTTAGAGAATAGAATGAAAGATGGAAAAAAACTGAGCTTTGGGGTAGATGCAAGGGAAAATAATTTTGTGTATAAACAATCTTCCAGTTGCTAAAATAAGATATTCAGATTTTTTTAAAAAACACAAAATCGTAACATTTAATACTTGAATGGTGCTCAGCTGCTTCTAAAAGTCATTCACAAATTACATGGAATCTCTCAGAGAACCTGTAGACGAGGTACTACTGTTCTTATTTACCAGGTTTGCTCATTTGGTAATTTTTTTTATATATATCTCAACTCTTGGACTTAGTGATTCTCTTGCCTCAGCCTCCCAAGTACCTGGGACTACAGGTGCCCGCCACAAGGCGTTGTCATTGTTGTTTAACTGGCTTAGACTGGGATCGAACCCACCAGCCTCCATGTATGTGGCCGGTGTGATACCAGTGAGCTACAGGCGCCGAGCCTATGTAATATTTACTAAGCTGCAGTATCTATGTTCTGGGCACTGGGCTTCTGGCTTGGGATCTAGTGGTGAATGAGATGGACAGAGTCCCTACTCGCTGCCTCTGACATTCTGATAAGGGGAGGAGATCAATAGGAACTAAACACTGTTGAGTGGTAAACAGTGGTAAACAGCTGGGTGAGGGAGTGGAGGAGGGAGGCTCCTCGGCTGGTTATTTTATATTAAAAAAGAGATTGGAAGGCCCCATGGTAATGTACCTTTGAGTGGAGACCTGCAGGAGGTTGAGAGTCAGCCAAGCATCTGTCTGTGAAAGCACCTGCAGGGTGGAGCAGGTGAGTCAGCATCACGCCCCGAGGGAGGTTTGGGGTGGGAAGGAAAGAAAAGAGGTCCCTGTCCACTGGGCCAGGAGCTCAGCCGAGGGGAAGGAGCCAGGGCGTGGGCAAAGGTGAACGCCTCAGTCGGGACTTGGGTTTTATTGGAAATAAGCTGGGTGGCTCTTAGAGGATTTGAGCAGAAGGGCGACATAATCTAATTGATGTCTTGATAGGGGATTGTTTTCGGATGTCTCATTTCTTCCTTTTGTAATTTGCTGTGTTATGGGAGCCACCCGTGGGACAGATAGTACAAAGTTATCTACCAGGTTAACTAGGAGGCTTAGGACTCCGGATTTAGGGTGGGGTGGGTGGGGAAAATCGGATCAGAGACTCAGTCCTCCGCAGAGTTAAGAGTTCAACTTCAACCAACTTGGAAGAGCTACCTCTTGCTAATTCTCAAGAGATAAGTGATAAAATGCTCAATGACATTCTATAATGACATTATATTTGTCATTGAAATTCTGTGTAGGGAATATGAACGTCTTTCGGGGCTATTGCTCTGTCTACTTACAGAGGCTTTTCAGTAGTAAAAGACCGTAGGACACCACTTTTTTAGTCATTCCGACAAATCCTTACTGACTTTCTCCTCTGTGGTAGCTGCTCTTTGGACCCTGGGGAAACACTGCACCCAGGCCGTTGTATGCAGCTCTGCCCGCAGGGAGTTCATGGTCAAGTGAAAAATATATTCATTTATGACTCCCAGGAGGAAAAAACTGTATAAGAAGTCTGTCATAACGTACACTAGCCAATGTTTTCCTAACCTAAAACTTAGTATAGTGTATTTTGTACAGGCAAAAAAAAAAAAAAAAAAGCAATCAGAAAAAACTTTGATTGGTAACCTTGTAATGTCATGTAAACTAAAAAGTCTTACGTCTCTGCTCCTCTTTCAATATCCCTAGCTAATATGTTTTCCTTCCCACTGCTTTTTTGTAATGTCCTAGCAAGGATCCATGGTTTAGAGTCAGAAAAGTGGCCAAATGCTATGAAATGTGCCATTTTCCTTTTCTGAAATCTGGTCCCCCATCCCCAACCCTGTAACAGCTATAGACATGCTGGCCTAGGCTCTGAGTCATGGCGATGAAACAGCGCAAGTGTTACCTCCAGGAGGGCATGTGGCCCTTCATCAATGCACTGTGAATGTTAGAGGTTCTCATTTCCAAAAGAAACTTTCAGAGTTATGCTCGGATCAAGAGTGGGGCAGGTTTTATTATCCCAAAGTGAAAAGCAAACAAACAAACAACAATAAAAAAACAGCCTGGCCTCTCCTCTCAGGAAGGGCTTAGTCTCACTGGGAAAATGAAATATATGTACCAGAAGTGGTTACATGGTGAAGAGAGACAAATAAAACGAAGGCTGCAGATCAGAAAATTGCACAAGGGCAGAGAAGTGCGACAGGAGCAATGACAGCAGGGCAGAAACCCAGCGGCCGACATCTGTCATCTGGGGGACCCTGCATGATGTGTTGAGCACGTGATCTGTGCTGTGCCCTGTCTGGATCTAAATTCCGAAGAGCAAGTAAGGGTCAGTCCATTGTGGACCAGAATGCCAAACAGGCCATCTAGAATCTTTCTGTGGTGTGTGTGTGGGAAGCCCATGAGCTGCAGATCAACAGATACTCTCACAATGTTAATTTGAAGGGAGATTGAAAATGCAGAAGGATCTGGAAAGAAAATCTATGGTCAGTGTTCAGGAAGTCTAAAGAAGTGGTTTCGATGAACTATCATTCATCCTAAATTGGTCTTAAAATACAAATAGTGTGTGACACGTTTAATACATGGTACATAAATGTTTTATGTCCTCTTCTTTGTCAAGCTGACATTCTTTAATCTCTTTCAGAGCATCCGTTTCCTGGCGATGTTGTCTTCCCCCGAGAAATCAGTTTTATCAACCTGCAACCAAATCATACCGCTGTGTACCAGTGTGAAGCCTCCAATATCCACGGAACTATCCTTGCCAATGCCAATATCGATGTTGTAGGTGAGCATACCCGAAAGCAGATATAACTTGCTGTTTTCTGAAAGAAAATGGTCAAGGCCATGTTTGCAAATACCCGTGCAATTCTTGACACATACAGGATGGGGGGAAAAAATCAGTCTCTTTCACTGTACATTGGGCATTAGAGTCAGACTGAAATTATGCTTTCAAACATATATTAAGTTTGTTATTTTTTATTTTATTTTATTATTTTTTTTCGAGACAGAGTCCCACTATGTCACCCTGGGTAGAGTGCCGTGGCATCCCAACTCACAGCAACCTCAGACTCTTGGGCTTAAGTGATTCTCTTGCTTCAGCCTCCCAGGTAGCTGGGACTGTTGGCACCCGCCACAATGCCCGGCTATTTCTGTTGTTGTTGTTGTTGCCATTGTTGTTTAGTTGGCCTGGGCTAGATTTGAACCCAGCAGCCTCCGTGTATGTGGCTGGCGCCGTAAGCCCTAGGCTATGGGCACTGAGCCATATATTAACTTTGGATGCTTTTCTAAAGCAAAACAGAATATGTACTGTAATATTCAGGGATTTTCCATTCATATTAATATGGCTAAGACATAGAAAACATTTAATTTGCACGTACGTGGTAGTTCTTACATGGAAGTTTCAAACTGTTACGTATGATACTTTCTAATAGATGTTCGTCCATTGATACTGACGGAAGATGGAGAAAATTACGCTACTGTGGTCGGGTACAACGCTTTCCTGCACTGCGAGTTCTTTGCTTCCCCTGAGGCGATAGTATCCTGGTAAGCCGGCACACGGTTTCCTTACAGAATGGCCATTGTCGACTTCCCCTTGTCTTTTCATTCGTCCTTCGTCAGGCTGTGTTATGTCTATATTATTACAGGTACCCCCTGCCTCTGAGAAATAAGGTAACCAGATTAACTACTCCTGAAAACATTGGCTAGGTTGCTAGGACTTTCTCATATGGGGGAGTATGGAGGGGCACGAATGTTCATTTTTAAAAAGCAAAGAGTTGATTACTAAGACAATTTTAAAAGTAAAACTGTTTTTTTTTTTTAATTATGGGGATATCTTAAGATCATGTTTTACTTCATTGCTGTTTTGCAGTTATCCAAATAATTAATTTTAAGCCTGTCTTCAATTCCAAACACAGTTGCTTCAATTTCTACCATTCATCTTGATTTTCATTTTGCTACATTAATTGGTATCATAATCACTTATCGCATTAGTTATGTTACTGAAAAAACTTTGATTGATCTGTTTTTAAACAATTTGCCATTCCTCTGGAGTGTAGAGTGAGACAAGGGAGCCCAGGTATAGGGTCACATCCTGTCTTTATTTAAAAATGTGATATATGCATAATTTGGTCATCATGGATTTGGGGGGCATTATTAAAAGAATACTCCATTAAAACATTACTTTTTTTGCTTACTGTGATGTTTTGCACCCCTTTAAATATTGTATGTGAGACTAGTACCCACACTCACGTCAGCCTATTCCCTGCCCTGTGACATCCTGTGTGCACAGCAGCCCCAGTTTGTCCTCTGCATTTTTAGTTCAGTCACTTACTGTGACGTGAGCAGAGTAAATCCAGCCATGGCAGCAAACGCTTGGAAAATGGATGAATGTGAGTGAAAATGGCTCTGGGGGTGAGAGGGCAAATGTAATCCATGTCCACAGGACAGGCACAAATTCCTGGCTTATAATATTTCCAAATAACCAATGTGTTCCCAGGACAGCAGGAGACTTGAAAGGTTCATTATCTCTTTCAATTACTAGCTTTCCCATTTAGTACCCTGCAGCAATCATTAACTAAAGAGTTCGCCATCAATAAGCCAGAAAATATTTATTACGCTCGGCGGACACATGCTGCACGGTGCTGGTAGCTATGGGAAGTACAGCACAGGCCCAGAGCCTGGCTCGGATGTTTGTAGTGACAGTCTAGTCAAGTGGATGAGATATGTATCCATGATCCATGTTGAGAAAATTTAAAACCCAAGGGAACATTTTATAAGATTTTCCAAGCTCCCCAAGAAGGGATTAGCCTGAATGACTTCAGTGATTAGTACCAAAAAAAAACCTCTATAATTCTGCTATGCCCAAGTTTGACTCAGGCTTTCTGTGCCCACAGGCAGAAGGTGGAAGAAGCAAAACCCCTTGAGGGCAGGCGGCACTGGATTCACGAAAACGGCACATTACAGATCAGCAGCACCACCGAAGACGACGCGGGGTCGTACTCCTGCTGGGTAGAAAATGCCATCGGAAAAACCGCAGTCACAGCCAATCTGGATATTAGAAGTATTTTTATTTCATTGTTACTTTGCATGAATTCTCACGTGGGTTCCGTCTATCTTTATTTTCCCAACTGGTATAATGTGATTTAAGTTGGATCACCTGCTAACGTTTTTTAGACTGTTTTCTAAAGCTCCTAGATTATGTTCATCTGAAAGGCTATCATGAGATTTATAGGGTATGCCAATGCTGTGTGCATAGCTTTATACAGTTTTCAGAGGGAGCCAGGCATTCTTAGTGGTGGATTCCCGGCAATCTCTAAAATCCTCTGCTTTGATGCATTTCTGCTACTGTCTTTTATTTCCAAACCACACAAGGCAATGTCACTGGTGATCAAGTCTTTGAGCTAAAGATTCAGCAAACTCATAAAAGTTCAGCTTTATAAAGACCGAGGCATGACAGCCTGAGGTGTATTATTCTCTTTCTGAGTTTTAAACAACTTTTTATTCTTTCTCTTCAGAACAAAGTCCTAGGAGCTGCTAATAGTCTCTTGGCCTTCAGAATTGTCATTTTGATGTTGCTCAGAGAATACTTTTCAGGAAATACTAAGAACAGAAAGGTTCTACAGTAATATAGGGAGGCTTAGTGTTGCTTCTGTCACATCCCTATCTCAGCCTGCTCCCTACCACTGCCTAGACATAGGGTATACTTATTTGGCCGATCATCTAGTCATCTGTTCGATTATCTGTTTTCAACTGATGCCTCCATATTTCATTCTCTCTCTTTCCCCATACACACCATTCCTGTCTTCTTTTTTCCGTTTCCTTTTTTCCCCCTTCTCTTCTGCCTTATATCCTTTTATTATTCTATAGTATTTGCCACTTTCTCTGCCTTGGGTACCAACCCAAGGAGTCAGTTTGTAAAGCACACAAATATTCTCTCATGCTGTCTACGAAGCTGTCATGTCTTCCTGCCTGTTTAAGTGTTATGTACAATTTTCAAGATGCCCTTATGAAATCAGTGAAGATGAATTGTTTGATACTTCAAAAGGTAAACCTATATCAAGATTAAGCAACTCCGCCAGGTTCAGAGTCAAAGAGAATGAAGCCTGGCATCTAAGTGAACCTTTGCATTCCTAGTGCCCAAAGCAGCATCTGGTCCAAGTGGACCCCCAAATTGCTTGAGAGAGGTGGCAAGTTTATAAACTTTCGGTGTGTTCCACTGTCCTTTTTATGTGTAAGGATTATACATTTAAATCATATCAATGATGGATAAAAGAAACAATTTGTGCATATAAAAAAGGAACGTGGAGAGTGGAGTTGAGTATGAGGCTGAATAGTAACTGAAAACATGAGCTTTGGTTTCAGCCATATTTAGGTTCAAATCCTGGTTCTCTGCCTTACCAGCTAGTAAACCTTGGGCTCTTCACTTAATCCCATTTTAGCCTTAAGTTTCCTTCTCTGTAGGGTGAGAAGATTAATATTCATAGAGATAATTATAAAATGGCACCATGGATGTGAGCTTCTTAGTAGAGTGCTGGTACAGAAGTGCTGATTACATGGGGCTTATTGTTATGAAGTGGATTTCTGACATGAAATTTAGAAGTAGGAATAGGATGCTTAATGATTCACTTAAAGTTAATTGAATTTACTAATCTCTTCAAGTTTCATGTCTGGGATACCAAATAATCAATTTTATTAACACCTTCGGTTTTTAATCAGTTTCTTGTAGCTAGCCGTTATTAGAGTATGATCGTGGAGGTCAGATTACTTAATTTGGTCTCTGAGTGGGTCCCCAAGAACCAAGCACCACATTAAAGGGATACCTACTTTTAATGCAGCCCTTGAACAGGGAGGGTTGTATGGATTGGAACAATCACAGTGAAGCAAACATTTTTCAGGACAGCTACAGTATTATTCTTTGAGCTTCATATTGTTGATTCTACCAATTCAGTCACTGTAGGTCATTCAACAAGAAACTCAGCCAGGCTGGACGAGTGCCTACAGTATACAGGCTCCCTTCTTGGTTCTGGGGTTACTGCAGTAACTTTTGCAGGTTTACTTGCTAGTTCCTCACCTTTGTGTTCATAGTTCATCTACGCATGTCTTCCACATTTAACCTCTGGTTTCTGACTTACTGATAAGCATGCTTAAAGAAAATCAAATATTTTTTAAAAATAAAAACAGTGCTTTGATTACATATCCAGAAGTGTTAGAGGAGAAATTATATTATTTTCAATGTCTCTAGACATTTGTTTGCTCACACTTTGCTTATTCCCCTTGCCCAAGAAACAGTGGGGGAAATTGCTGATCTACTAATTGACACTTCTACCCGAATTTGTCAGATGCCCAGGTCTAGATGGAAAGTAATGGTATATAAAAAGTAACGATCTTAGAAAATTATAGCAGGGCCAATATTGCATGAGGCTTTGATGATTATATTGACAGCTTTGGGTGATTAACGTGCGGGCCCTCCGTGACCAAGTAAGCTATCTTCTACAGTTCTAACCTATATTTTTTGTTTGGTAAAAACAGATGCTACAAAACTTCGAGTTTCTCCAAAGAATCCCCGAATCCCCAAATTGCATGTGCTTGAATTACACTGTGAAAGCAAATGTGACTCACATTTGAAAGACAGCTTGAAGTTGTCCTGGAATAAAGATGGAGAAGCCTTTGAAATGAATGGCACAGAAGATGGCAGGTAGGTAAACTGGTACCACATGACCAGTGATGACCACGTTTCATTTCAAAACAGTGTTCCGAAAGGATTCATACTGAAGTAGAATACAAAAAGCTGACTAATATATTTCAGAAAAAGAGGCCACCCTAGGTAGAGACAGGTTTATTGCATGAATCTTACAAAAGACGACTGGAGGAACTAGGCCCCTAGGGGGCCGCATACTCATCTTTTGGGTTCTTAACCATGTGGCCCTGTGGCTATAATCCAAGTATCTGGAAGCTGCGGCTATCTCAGGGTCACCCCACCCCACTGGTACTACTGGGGATGTAGCCACTGACCTCTCTCACGTCTGCCAGAACCACCGTGTCCTCCCATACCCCAGAGGAAGTGGTGCCTATTTCTCTTCTAATTTCGAATACCGTGCAAGTCTATCTTCCTGCTAGAAAGTATTGACAAGTATATTTTAAAATCTTCCAATCTCTGTATAAAGAACCAAGAAAAAATATAGAAGGGAGAATACAGAACAAAGTGTGAGTGGCCACCGATTAGCATGAAAAAATATGAAGCACATGGAAACAGGAGAAAAGAATCAATATTTACTGAATGTCTAGCTTTCCAGACAAGTGGAGGTCAGCATTGCTTCCTTTTATATTGATACCAAATAGGGGTGAAAGTTGAACATCTGGGACCCACATCTCTCATGCAGTTAGGTTTTATTATTCATCACTCTGGAAAAGTGAATCTGCAAGTCTTTAGATAGGCAAGTACTGCTTGGATGAGATGACTTCAGGGAATGTGGATTCTGAAGCTCAATGACCTGAGTGTGAATGACAGCTCCGTCTCTTACGGGGTCTGTGCCTTGGAAAAGCTGTTTGACATCGCCATGCTTTGGTTTTACTTTCTATTGTCTAATATAATTTTGGTTATAAAATAAAAAGCTACCTTCATCATAGGGATATTTCCAATTAATATATCTTAATTGGATATTTCCAATTAATGTATCTCTCTGCTTTAAGGAAAAACAGAAGAACTTCTGTGTCATTGGCTGAGTCCAGTTGAGCAGCCAAAGTTTCACCTGAGTGTCAGCCTGTATCCTGCAGACACTGTAAAACTGGGCCATACGGCCACACAAAGAGGGTCGTATGAGACAGTGCTGAGTGCACAGTCCTCTCCCCCATTATGATTTGCATTACTGATGTCCTCAGTCACCTGTCTCATTTCTGTCACTTCTGTTGGTATTTGCATGTGTGCCACCTTAATGCAAAGGCTTTGGTGTGAGTCATGGTACTTCATTGGTTCTCTCTTTCCTATACTGTATTTAAAGATTTGCAGAAGGGCAGTGTATGTATCTGACTGGTTGTCGTTGAAATGAGAGGAGGTTAATTACACATCCCTAAGGGTTACACCTGTAGGGATCTCCAGCTGCAGGCTAGGACTCAGCTGCTCTGCCACCTGCTCCCAGCTGCCTAAATTGTCTCTCCTTGGTCACTACTGCCTGATCTTCGGGGGTCCTCCCATGTGAGTACTGGGCTAAAGTCAAGAAGGGAACCAGAGACCCATGCTTTGTGACACACTCCATACCTTTAGGCTCTGACCCTAGAAACACCAGTGACCCTCTTTGTGTGGCCGTTTGGCCCAGTTTTACAGGGTCTGCAGGATATGGGGCTGACACTCAGGTGAAACTCTGGCTGCCCAACTGGACTCAGCCAATGACACAGAAGTTCTTCTGCTTTTCCTTAAATAAATGGTGGGGGTGAGGGACAGTGACCTTAGCTCAGAAGAGATCCCAGGAAGAGGGGAGGCTAGATGTGACTGCTACTGGCTGGTCCTGACTGCTGCCGGCAGCAGGCCTGGAAATCTAGCGGGGCAGAGAGAGCATAGACATCCACCTTTTTTTTTTTTCTTTTTTGCAATTTTTGGCTGGGGCCTGGTTTGAACCTGCCACCTCCCATGTATGGGGCAGGTGCCCTACTGCTTTGAGCCACAGATGCCACCCAACATCCACCAAATTTTCAGAAAACCATCATGTTGCCTACCTTCTTCTGGGACACTTTCTCCTCATCACTAGAGACCAAAGTTTCTAGAAACTTCCCAATAAATGTACGTAGTGAACAATGAGAGGTGAGAAATCTTCCTTCTCTTCCCTCCTGTCCCCTTTCATGTGTAGGGGTGTAGTTAAGTGCTGGGACCCGCCACTCCAAACTAATATATCCACGGCCGCTCCATTATGTCAGTACTCCCTATACATGCTGTCCCCTGTTAATCCTCACTGCAACTAGGGAGCCTGAAATGGCCCAAAGGGATCCTTGTACGGAATTCTACCCTGCGGGTAGCTATAGACACACACTATTGTAATGAAAGGGAAACGGAGCATGGGTACAAAACCATTTTTAAAAATATATACTGTGCTTAACTAAGGTAAGAAAGATGGTTCACATCAGAGGGTCAAGTGAAGACCTGGGGTGTGCAGGGGACCTCAGTGGTTCAGGCAGGGAGGGAGTGCTGTATGTTGACCATGAGGAGGACGCGCTGGTCAAGGCAGGGAGGGTGTGCTGTATGTTGACCATGAGGAGGACGCGCTGGTCGAGGCAGGGAGGGTGTGCTGTATGTTGACCATGAGGAGGACGTGCTGGTCCAGGCAGGGAGGGCGTGCTGTATGTTGACCATGAGGAGGACGCGCTGGTCGAGGCAGGGAGGGCGTGCTGTATGTTGACCATGAGGAGGACGCGCTGGTCGAGGCAGGGAGGGCGTGCTGTATGTTGACCATGAAGAGGACGCGCTGGTCCAGGCAGGGAGGGCGTGCTGTATGTTGACCATGAAGAGG